TTTAATTGAAGTGCAAAACTTCTTAATGGCGCAGACGGCACTAGGATAGGCCCTGGGGCCAGCAGCCCGCAAGCGAAAAAATCGCACACACGCACTTTTTTCTACAAACACATCACAAAACTGGAAGGTATATAAAGTTTTAACAACCGATTAAGCACTGTAAATTTCCATGTTGATTCATAATTGTTTTATAAACACCGTAGTTTCGCTTTTCTCGTATCCAATAAGCAAATTTTAAGTGAAATATTTTTTTTTTATCCATACGCCACACTAATCTCACCTATACACAATTCGTTGCTTTTTCTGCTTCTACTCCGGCAACTTCTTCACTTTTCTATTTCCTCTTGTCATTCCGCTTTCGATACCTATACGTAAAGGTGCTGTCAGATTTAGCAATATTTTCAACTTTTCCAGGCAATTGGCGGGCGATTGGATTTTACTTTGTGAACAACCAGAAAGTCCTTTCCCGGTTCATTTTCGGAAACCAGTTTGAGAAATAGAAGTACGTATGTATTTATTTGGTAATTCTCTAGTGTAGGGTACCAACCCCTAAAAAAGGTCCGAAAAAGTCGCGAGGGGCACCAAACGACGCGTTTCGGTCCCCTTATTAACAATCCGGAGGGGGTAGGCTAATATTATTAATCATTTAAAAGTTATGAACAAAACACTTTTGTTAAATTTCGTCGTTTTCTATGGGCAATTACACCGACAAAGATGCACTAAATCACCTGTTCTCACTTTTTAAACACTATTAAAATATATAATTTAACTTATTTATTAAACAAACACATAGTTTTGTCAACCTAAGATAGATTATTTTGTTATTAAAAAGAAGTTGACAATCTTTGCGAACTGAAACGTGAGATTCCAAAATAGCTATAGTGCTGCCACTGTATTAGTATTTCGTAATAATTCACTTTTCTTTATAAGGTGTGTGCACTGTTCAATGCTTTTCGGTATTATCTTTCGTTTAATATAAATATAAATAATGAAAATTTTAAATAAAAAATCGCGCGATTTTTTATTAAAATATTTGGCATGCGGGGCTTTTCCGTAAAAATCAATCAAGATTGTTAATAGGGGGCCGAAACGCGTTTGGGGGTTGTTACCCTACACTAGAGAATTACCATTTATTTTTACGAAATTAACTTTGCGCATTTCCAAGAACAATAGTAAACAACCGAAATTCATCCGCTGTTTGAAGAGTCAAAAAGCATTTTCAGATATTTTTTCTGCAAATCACGTTTCGTAAATAAAAACGAATTTTCGAAAGTAACTTTATTGCAAAGTGTGACCGCTCAAGTAATTCAGAAATTTCTGTATTTGGTAGTTTCCGAAATATATTGCCACGTCTGACTGCACCTTAAAAGAAGTCGAAATTGATAAAGAACAGAAAATAAGCATGACAGAAAGCAGCTGAACGAATGACAGAGCGCTTTGAAGTCAACTATTTTTTAATCGCTTATGGATTTATAATTTTTGCGTAAAAAATATGTGAAAATTTGTCGGTAACCCGCATACCTATCATAAATAAAGTAAAGCTTGTCATAAAAGACTACGCTTCTAAATATTGGTTTATGTGTACATACGCACTTAAGATAATTGAATTACGATCTTTATATGCTCTTTAAACTGAGCTATGCCGGTATAGCGTTTTACCTATCCGCGCTTATCTAAATAGATCACATTTTCCAGGTAGGCATTCTGCAAGACTAGGGACTTCCTAAAAATCACATTTTTCTACCTTTTGCAATTTTGTTTTCGCACGATTCCTTTTTGCACATATTCTTGTTTACATCAATTGGATATGCCATTTATCTCACTCGCACTTACACACCGATTCGGCTAAGGGTGTCAACGAATGAACATCCCTTTCGCTCAACTGCGATAGTTCAATTAATTCTTGATTCTTCAGAAGACTCTTTCCGATTTTCGCCTTATGGTATTTTTCCCTTTAGGCGAATTTCGGGGCCTGTATTTTAGCTACTTTTTCAGACGTTTGCTGCACACGCTTTGCCAGTTTTCACACGTTTCCTTTTATTTCCACAACCAAAACACCTTTACCCCGAGAGCAATTCACGCAACAAAGTTTTCGGCATAGAGAACGAACGCTCTATTACCCACATTTAGGTATTTGTATGATGCAGCGTATACTTATTTTTATGTTATTTGAACACTTACTAACTTTGCAAGCAGTTTATTCGATTTTTTCTTCAATATTTTAACCAAATTATTCCACGAGCTAACACAAAATTTGTAAAACGAAGACCAGTGTTGCGTTTCTGGAAAATGCTTTTTGCTGACAGAAGTGTTGCCAGGCCTATAATTTAAACGTCAATTTAACGTAATGTTGCCGGTCGATGTTAGAAATTTTTTTTTTTTAGAATATATTACATTTTTTGACAAGCCCGAATCTAGGAACGGTTTTTACTCGAAATTAAAAAATGGAAAGAATACGAGAGATAATAACATATTAAGCCAATATGAAGCAAACATATCATGCTAATTCCAGATTTGTTTTACAAATTAACGTCCAAATAGTTCGGTAAACATTTACAGGCCTATTCTGCGTTGGTAACACAAATTTTGTTACCGGTAAATAAAGTTCCTGGTAATTTTTTAACCCTTTTCTCATTCTGCGCACTGGTCAATTTTGTTACCATTTCAAAAGCAGGTAACAAAATATTTCCCCGTGATATATGCAACACCAGAATTTATACAAAACCAAGGAGGGTAAATCTATAGGGGCCAACTCGTTGAAGTGTGGCGAGTGAGTCTAGAAGGTTTGCGAGAGGAATTCGTGCCCGGTTTGACATCAAGTTTCGTAAAAATAAGTGGTGCCACGCCCCCAACCCGGATATACATTTGTCTAACAATTTCATTAATTCAGTCAACAGTATTGTTCTTTCAAATTATTTCATGCAATTCGCTATCAAATTAAGAAAAAGGAATTTTATTTTTATGCGTGAACAGCCAGAAAGACCTTTCTGTCATTTTCGGAAATCAGTTTCAGCACTGAAAGTTGAAAGGTGAAAGGGGATTTCGGAAACATATTTCAACTTGCTTGTGCTACATTAGCAATCTGCAATTCGCCTTTCAGAAATAAAAAAAAAACTTCTTTCGAAAGACATTTTACATGCGAGGTTTGACTGCCAGTGCAACTGCTTTCTGATATTTCTCAATTTGACAGCCTTTTCGAAATATATTGTATACTAAGTATATTACCACGTCTGACACGCTCTTTATAATAGAAACCGACCGGGCCAAAACCGGCAGAGTTTGGATAAAGGCCATAAGGGACATAATTTTTATTGATTTTTTGTCAAAAAAGTTGCAATTAACATAAGGATCGACCTTATTTCGACTAATAATATGCCCCATTGTGCTTGATTCCCGAAAATCAAAAAAAACACATCAGGCGTGTCTAACAGCATGCAACATCTAATTAAATGCCCCTCATACTGTCAGATTCGGCTGACTACAATTTGCATACTCCACTCTTTATTTAGAGAACTTTGGCGACGGAAATTTTGCGTAGCGATTGCTAGAATTTAACTGCATGGAAAGACTTCTGAGTAAATCCTTTTAATCACATAGCACACATACCAGTGAACCAATACAAAAACAAGTACGAACAATTCTCTATACTATCGAGAAAGAAAGAGTGTATGTTAAATGGAGTTATAAAATCACAGCTACAGGAAAGTATCCACCTCATTTTTAAAAATTGGATTAGAAATCTGATGTATAATCCGAGGAGTTAAAACTCCACCACACTAAAGGCGTCTATGGCTTGTCAAAAAATCGCCTCTTGTGAATGCATCCCAACGAAGCAACGAGATCGGTGTGAAGACCTCATGTTCTATTTGCAGCTGTTTAGTTTCTTATTTTTAAAGATGCAAACTTGAATACAAAAAGTATGTAAGGCAGCATTTACTTATCAACGCCTGAAAACGTAAGAAAGTTGTATGGAGCAGCATTCTATGGAGATCCGCCTTTAGTGGAGGAGCCATTTTATAACGTTAACGTTAATGTAACAGGGTGAAACCAGTGTTTATCACCCTATACTTCGGGTAGTGCTTTCCAGTGACGTCCGGTAGTGTATTCCATGATAAAAACATAGCAAGGCATCAGGAGCGTTCCTTATCTCCCATCTCCATGATTCAATAATACAAGGTTCGATAAACTGACAGTTGTCTCTCTCGCACCGCTCCCTTAGCAGTGGCACCGTGTTGCTTCTTTGCAAATTTACATGGAAACAGTGTAGCTTTGGTGTGAAATAAAAGTATAAGCTTTTGTGCAATATGTTTATTTGTATATGCATATGAAGCATATTTAACTGATGAAAACATAAGCATTGGATGTTTACATCAATCTCATAGTAGTCTTATTTTAATTTTGAGTCATTTTGCAGTTTTTATACGGCTAAATAGCACATAAATTACGTAATTCACGTAGATATATCAATATTACGTTCAACATTTCGTTTAAAATGCCAGATTTCCTGCAAATACATTAGAATTTACAAAAGGAATTTCACTAATAATTGCCTACTTTGCGTACTTTTCTACTACCATTTTCGCAACAAGAGATTGCATTCTTGCGCTTTCTCTGTCCTTCGTAAATGCAACCTTTTGTAAGGGAGTGTCAAACCGCAGCTGTCAATAATTATCTAACCTTGTATTATTGAATCATGATAGCAAGGTATAACCGTTCTCTCAATTTGTCGGCCATGATTTTTTTTAAAGTTTGCCAACATTTTAAAATCATATAAATGTGATAATAAAGAAATGAAATTGTTCGAAATTGTTGTTGCTTGAGATTGAAAATGAAAATGTGTGTGTGAGTAAATTTAAAAATAAAATTGTTTGGAAACGTCAAGAATTTTAAAAGTGACTCTCAGCGGTTCTACCTTACTATATTTTTTCATGGTGTATTCCAGTGACGTCCGGTAGTGCATTCCAGTGGAAGTTTTGTGATCTATCCCTGTTCTGACATTCATTCTTGTTTTTGTCTTGTGGTTATTTGTTTTTGTTTACATTTTCCGTGCGGTTTGGCGCAATTTTATCACATTTATCCTCAACTGCAGCTGTTTTCTAGACATCAGAATCAAATAAGTTTCAATTTTAAAGTACAGGATCCAGCATTCCAGCATTTAGACATATTAAATCTCAAACTTCAAACGCGACAGAAAATGCAATTGGGAAAGCGTGGTGCTCTGATTGTCTTGGAGGGCTGCGACCGCAGTGGAAAATCCTCGCAAAGTCGATTGTTATGTATGATTTAATTATTTATTAATTTCTAAAGTTATTTCAATGTATTAATCGTGGTTTTCAGTTGAATTTCTTTGCAATCGCGGCGTGCAAGCGAAACACTTGGTTTTTCCAAATCGCTCGTCGGAAATTGGCGGCACAATAAATGCATACTTAAAAAATTCCAGAGAGTTAAATGATCAGGTAATCCACCTACTTTTTACTGCCAACCGATGGGAATTCAAAAAAGAGATTGAGGATTTGCTCAATGCGGGTACTACCTTGGTGGTAGATAGATACTCTTATTCTGGTGTAGCGTATAGTGTGGCAAAAGGTTAGTAAATGAATATATTCTTTTATCATACTTACTAGTTGAGTTTATAATATTGCTTTACATATTTAAGGCTTGGATTTCGATTGGTGCATGGCACCAGAAAAAGGACTTATACGCCCAGATGCAGTTTTTTATCTCAAAGCGCCGATTGAACAATTAATGCAACGTGGAGAGTTTGGTGAGGAAAGGTTGGATTATTTCGTTTCTTTATTTTGGCAATGCCTCAAGCGTGAATCAATAATCATGGTCTCAAATGTTTCTTTTTTAATTACCATTTTCTTGTAGATATGAGAAAAAAGATTTCCAATTAAAGGTGGCCAGCGTTTTCGACCGGATTTGTGAAAATCAGCAACATTTCTGGCATAAAATCGATGCAACTCAAACACAAGCCTTAGTATTGGAAGATTTGAGCACAAAAGTGTTGGAAGTTATAGAGCAGGCGAAGGATAAACCGATGAAAGTGCTTTAACATTCGGCCTTAATGCATTTATTTTTTAAGTATGTATATATCTTTTCAATATCTATTGGCTTCATACTATATTTCTCTTGACGTACGAATATTCCTAAAAAAAAGCACAACTTATCCCAGTTTTGCAACTTTAAACATTTCCTTCCGAAATTTTTGTAATAGGCTGACATATTGCTACCATACCTTAATGAAAATTGTTAATAATTTAAGTAAATTGCCTAGTTTCACTAACTAAAAAAAATAAACATCACACACTTAAAATTATTTAATAAGTGTAAGATTTTGCGAAAGTTAAATGTTATGAACACTTGTGAATTACAGAAAATTGTTTTGATAATTTGTATATACATATCGATGGTCCTGTTATTCAACGACACAATTCAACATTCAAAAAATAAAAACTGTTACTACTGTTAAGTGGCTCATGTCTCTTACCCTTGTCGAATCCATGTCTTATCTTTTGTACTTACTTTAGCAATCCTTACTGCTTACTTTAGTAAGAGATGAAAATAGATTAGACTCGTTAACAGTAGTAACAGTTTTTATTTTTTGAATTTCGAATTGTGTCGCTATTGTGTTTACTTTAATCTCTTAATTTTGCCTAATATAAGACCTAATATAAATCTACCAAGTAAGTTTTAATTCGCCATAGAAATGCATGCCATTTATTGCCCTTTTATCCATTAGTTTTCCTGAGACAGCCGCCAGATCATCACCTTGGTTACAGCTGGCACAGGCCTTACAAAATGACAAAAAGTCATTTAAAGAGAACCGGATACCACAGTCGACAAATTTCTCAGCTGCAGATGTGGAAATAGAAAGATCTCAGGTTGGAACGATGCTGTTGTTTTGTCTGGCCCGTTTCCATGTTGCGCTAACGTGCATACAATGTAACAAGCGTAAAGATAGGCACCACTTCCAGAACGACTCGAGATTAAAAATATTTCGCGACTACAATGCTAGTCCACCATATAAACCCCGGTTATGCCGTCAATTTTGGAACTAAATCTAAAAGTAGCTCATCCCTCAGCTGCGTTGGATATAATGTTGTTATTTGTTAAGACCAGGTGGGCGGTGGATGGTTCTGTGCGTAGAAGTAGAAAGCTTTTGACTGCCATTCACCTGGGAGTGGCCAGAAGTGATTCTTGTGAGTACGGTTCAAATCGCAGTTCAAAACGTCCGGATTTTTATATCCACGTATCCTCTGGGTAGCAAACAAACACCTTTGGGAGCGAGCTAAACTGAGAAGGCGTAAAACTTCCCGTGCGCTGGTTTGGGTCCCGCCACGTTAAAACCCCGCCCAATGAAAAAGTTCAGAAAGTCTCGGATGAGACCTTTTTTTTGACAACTACCACGGAAAACGTATAAAGGACTATGATGCACCTGGAATATCCGGACCCTTAATGGGGAAGGTGTCGCTGCCAAAGACAAAGGCTGACATCATCGCCAAGAGCGGAAATTCGCTGTTGGATTCGTGGTAGGAGAGATACTTCCGTTGCCGAGTACGGGCGTTCACCCCGGTGGACCGAACGTCTAGCCACATTCAGCATCAAATCGAGATTCAACATCTCGCTCATCTGCACCCATGTCCCGACGGAAGAGAAGGACGATGCGTCCAAGGATCACTTCTAGGAGCGCTTGGAGCGTACATATGAGCGACACGATATCAAAATTGTGCACGGCGATTTTAATGCCAAGATGGGCAAGGAAGGGATCTTTGGCGCCGCTGTCGGAAAATTCAGCTTCCACGACGAAACGTCTGATAACGGACTGAGGCTGACCTACTTCACCGGAGCTCGAAACATGGTAATATTTAGTACCGCTGTCGAAGAAGTAGTTGGATTTCAGCGCGCCCTAAGGAACAACTGGTACGATGAGGAATGTCAAGAAGCCGTAGAGAAAAAAGACGCCGCCTATAGGGCCACGCTGCGATCGGGCGCAACGCGAGCCATGAGGGATAGTTATACGGAACTGAAAAAATAAACGAGACGTATTTGCCGCAATAAGAAGAGGGAGGCCGAAATACGTGAGTGCGAAGAGCTTGAGGTGCTGGTCTACAGGAAGAACGCCCAAAAATTTTATCAGAGAGTTAGGCGACTTACCGATAATGTCATTGTCGTCGGAGTACGCCAGCAATTGTCCGCTCTTGTAGAGTATTGTGCCTGAGCGGTTCGGTTATGCGGCTCTTAAGATCTTATCCAACATCTTATTAAAGAAATCACACGAAAGGGAAGTACTTCCTCTGAAACCTCGTTCGGCATCAAACGGCTCGAAGAGGACTTCCAAAGTCTGACAGAGCCGGTGGTATTGATTAACGTCATTCAACACAACTGTGTCAGATTCACGGGATGCCAAAGTCAGACATCGCAGCATAAAGATAACTTATTCTCGTGTTGGCGGCCCGGTTTTGAAATCTACAAATATACCCTAATTTTTGCGAGTCTTTTCCAAGATTTGGCGTATTGTGAGTATCTGATCTATGGTGGATTTGCCAGATCTAAAGACACGCTCATAAGGCCTAATCAGCTCGTCGACGGTGGGCTTCAGTCTTTCACACATTACGCTCGATAAGACCTTATAACCTATGCTTAGAAGGCTGATCCCGCGGTAGTTGGCGCGTATGTGGAGTTGCCCTTCTTGTGGATTGGGCAGATCACACTTAAATTCCAGTCGTCAGGGATGTTTTCATTTGACCATATTCTGCATAAGAGGTCATGCATGCATCATATCCGCTCCGGGCTGCCTTATTTGCTGTAATCGCTGTTCGGACCTCGTCATAGTCAGGCGGTGGGTCATCGACTCCATCGCAATCGCCTAGGTGCTCAAGTTCGTCTTCTCCACTACTTTCAGGGTTGCTGACATTCAATAGATTGGAAAAATATTCCGCATAATTTAAATGCATTCTAGACATCGGTAACTAGGTCGTCACTGTTATTCTCACAGGAGTTCGCCGTGGTCTTGAAACCTTTCGTAAGCCGCCAGCATTTTAAGCTTTTCGCACCCACGTATTTCGGTCTTTCTCTTTTTAATGCGGCAAATTCGTCTCGCTTCTCTCTTCAGTCGCTATAATAGTCCCACATGGCTCGTGTAGCGCCCGATCGCAGTGTGGCCCTGAAGGCGGAATATTTTTTCCTGCAGCTTCGTGACATTCCTTGTCGTACCAGTTGTTCTTTTGGGTTCGCTGAATTCCGACTATTTCTTCGGCGGCGGTACGTTATGGCCGGGAAGTGTGGTTGCACTGATCACGTATGTCCGTTTGTTGGAGATTACTCTCAGAGAGCAGGTATCAGAGTCGAGTGCCGAATAAATTGACCGTCTGTTGTGATTACAGCTTTTCAACGCTGAGTTTTCCTTGCATTGTTGGACGCACATTTTTTGCTGCTAAGAGGCGGATGCGTATGTTGCTGAAACAAGAAACTGGTCAGAGTCGATGTTTGTCCCTCGGAGTTTACGTATGTCTAAAACACTGGAAGCCTGACTTCCGTCTATCACAACATGGTATATGTATTTAGGTTATTCTTTTTCGATGTGGGGACAGTCATGTAGCTTAATGAATCATTTTATGCTGGAACCTAGTACTGCACCCTACCATGTTTCGATTCCCGGCGAAGTCGATCAGCCTCAGTCTGTTGTTGGACGTTTCGTCGTGGAGGTTGAATTTTCCGACGGTGGTTTCTATCCATCGGGTCAACGACAGCATTCGGCACCGGAGTCTCTCGGTGATGTTAACCTTTGTCTTCACGAGGTCATCAATCAGCTGGTCCTCAAGTCATAGTGGTTTATACGTTTGCCGTGGCATATTTTTTGCTTTCCCAGGCATATTTTTTGCTTTATTACTGCACCTACCTATCGTCGCCTGGGTAAAAGATTGTCGTATGTTGATTTCGGCAGGTTGCGGGAAATCGCGATTGAAGTTTGGAATGCAATTTCTCAACAACGCGAGGATAGAATTTCTCCAAAGTCTCTGAAAATGTTACTAGTTCACAAAATTCTTAAATTATTTAATTTTAAATTTTATTGTTAATTAGTTTTGAGTTTATGAAGGATTTTATTAAGTAAAATTTTGTCGTAAGCGTCATTTGTCTACAATTTGGCAGCCACATTGTATGAAATACGACAAAATGTGATCAAAATTTCTACTAAATTAATGACACTTTATACTCAATATCTCGAATACTAAAGGAGCTATCCAAAAATGGAGAACGCCGTTTTTAAGGTATTGATTAGTTTAATATGACTGCATCACTAACTAAATATTTACCAAATTATCGAAAAAATTTTAGTCAATATCTCGGAAACTAAAGGAGATATCTAAAAACACATAACCCCAATCGAAAGATCTTATTTCAAAATATATAACTGCATCTATAACTAAAAATCGTCAAAATTGCGCTTACGACAATCTTTTACCCAGGCGACGATATGTATTTCTAATTTCGCCCTTAAAAATTATAATAGGCGGCATACACCGCCTATAAGGCAAATTATTTTATTTTTTACAATTTTGAGTAAAAACCCCAATTAAAAAGAAGTACTTTTCCAAAAAAAAATCCTAAATATTTTTTTACAAATCAATTTCCTTAAACTTGATTTCCAAATCTATTTCAAAAAATGTTTAATGTCTGGTAAATTTTATCATATTTCGTTAAAAATATATGTATAATTTTCTCTATGCAATAAATTTTTTCGTAGAAATTTTTTTGTTATACGTATTTATTAAAAAAAAAAAATTATTATTCCTGAAAAATTATTTTTGCCTAAAACTACCGGAGAGCAAAACGTATTTTTCTCAAACAATTATTTATATCTAAAATGAGTAGTCGTTAAGATTTCTATGCCCACATTGCTCAAAATCTACTAGAACTTCTTAAATTACTGGAGCCCAAAAAACATTCTCCCAAAAAATATTATCCTATAAAATTATTATTTCTTAAAATTTTGCATTGATTTATAAAAAAAAAATCCCTGAAAAGTTACTTTCCCTAGAAAGTACTGGAGCGCAAAACATTTTTCCCAAAAAATTATTTTCCTCTAAAGTTATCTCTTAAAATTTTGCATTTATTTATAAAAAAAAAATAACTTTATTTATAAAAAAATTCTCTGAAAAGTTACTTTCCCTAGAAAGTACTGGATTGCAAAAACAATTTTCCCAAAAATTAATTTCCTTTAAAATTATAATTTCTTAAAATTTTGCCTTTATTTATAAA